GAATCCATCTGGGCCCTGGCCAACGTTGTGTGGATGTGGGGTGCCCAGCATTAGAAGGGATGTACAATTTGCTTGCTGTCTGTATTCCTCATCTTATTTTGTCTGAATAAAGGAGTGGTTAAGCTGTTTGCTGCTGGGCCTTTTTTACCGAGATCCAGAAAGAGCCCTGTACCATTTTTCTCTCTCTTCAACCCCCTCCTCTAGTGCAGAACAGCTGCCCAGCTTGCAGTAGTTACCAAACAAAGTTGTTTGGGGTTTTTTCAGTCTGAATTTGTAAGGGAGGGAGGCTCACATTCTATGTTGCACATGTGTATGTGTCAGTTCATTCCCAGCAGCAACATTTGAATCCACTGTCGCACTTCAGTAAGTGTGAAAGGAATCACAAGAATAGTCAACTGAATAGAAATGGAAGGACCTGCTAGTACTTCTGCTGTGCTTCCGCCTATAGGCATCAGTGAAACACCCTCTTTCCTCTGGTCTTCACCAGCACAGAGCCACAGGCGTGCACAGTCAACCCTGAGATGCCAGTTTGTAGGTATCATTCTCCTTTCTCCCTGTGGACTACCGTGTGTCTTTACTGCTCTTCTGCTGTGAGGTTTTTGCCCCTCTTCTTGCAGTTGGCTGCTGCAACACTGCTCTTCTTGTTTTAAAGCTGACCTGAAATATTCTTAAATAGGATGGCGCTGCCAGCTTTGTTGATTTAATGATCAGTTCCTTGTGATCTGGACTCAACTAACTGTTGCCACCTTCAAGCTTTGTACTTGATCAACCTGCCTGCTCTTCTCTAACCCCACCTCAATGTCGTTCACAGGACTCAAGTTACTGATAGCTCACTGGGAAGGACTTCTAATTCGTTATAACCCTTATAGTTCTGCAGTAGCAAAGCCTTTCTCACCCTGTCAATGAAGCAACCAGCGCGCCTCCGTGCGCCTCGCCAGCTCCCTGAGGCACACAAACAGCCCGACTCGACGGCAGGTGGAGCCTGAGGGAGAGCTCGTCGGAGAAGTGGGTTTGGTGAGGCCTCCCCTGTCCTGTTCTCTGGCGGACCCGGAAAACGCCCGGAGGAGCCCGCGCAGTCCCAGAGGTTTGGGTGTTTAGCCACTCTCCTCTTCCCCACAGGGCAGGCGGGTGCCTGGGTCGACTGATACAAGCCGGTACCTTCAGCAGGAGCTGCCTGTACCCACCGCCCAGCTCCGGCCTCACTGCGCCTCCTCTTCCCGAGGAGCTCGATAAAAATCTCTGCTCCCAGCACAGGTCAAAAAAATCCGAACAACTGGATGGCTAGAAAATGCTATAGAAAAGCTTGAAACCGAGTAACACTCTGAGATCAGTACTTTTAGAATATAATGTCACCAAGACGGGATAAAAGGGCTTATGAACCCACCCCAGTGGGATGTAGATAAGCAGACAGACTCCTGTAGTAATGGCCGGGTGCACAGGACAGTTGTCTCCCCAACAACGCACCCCTAACCCCTGTAACATGCTGATTATTTAGGATACAGTCATACATATTAATCAAGTTCTCATACATAATCATATTAACTCCCATAACTCATTTTCTTATCCCCACCCCTTCCCGGCCACGCGCACTTGAGCCCTGAAATGAGTCGGGGGCGGCTTGTGCGACCACCACGGACTGCTGACCAAAAAGAAAGACCCTCCAGTGGCTTTGACTCAAGGACTTTGGCTCATGTGGCGATTTTAACATGCTCCGAGGCCCTTTCACAGTGCAACTTTTAAAACACCTGGTCTCCAGGGCCATGAATCATCCTCACCGAACAGTCTAACAATGGTACCTTGTCCAGCAGCAGAACTGGTTCCATGGTGACTTTAAACTAAATACAACATCTCTATAGCTGCTTAAAACTTAACACCACTATCTTTTATAAAACCAGTATTTCTGTGAGATTCTATTTAATTGATTAGTCCTAATCACTCCTTATCAAAATCAGCAAAAATTAAAACAAATCACTAACAATCAGTAACAATAAGCAGCTGCCACTGAAAAGAAAGAGGTAGCTTTAAGCTTCATTTTTTACAAAGTCCACAGAAAGGCACAGAGCTTGCGGGGAAAAAAGTGCAAGTTGATGGTGCCCTGATTCTGAAATTGCTCATTACAGCGGTTGTGTGACTGTACACGAGGGCCAAGGAGCCATCAAGCTGCTGCCAGCTCACTCGCACTCCAAGGAAACCATCTGCAAACAGCTCGTCTGAAACACGCTGCCCAATGGGTTTGGTACATGAACAATTTAGAAGACATTCGTTAGGGAAGAAATGAGGAAATTCCCATTTCATTTATAAGAGAAGATGGCAGAATTAACTGTACAGTTAGTTATTCCTTCCGCTTGTTCTTCCATCTGTTCTGGCCAGCACAAAGGAACAAAGAGGTTGCCTTGCAACAAGGCACAACATTCTTTTATTACTTGCCGCCTATTTGAAGGATCATGACTTGATCCTGTCTGAAGCAAAAAGGATCTCTCCCTTTCTAGATCACTCACCGTAGCCAGCTCCAGCGGAACTGCTTACTGAGTGGATCTGGCAGCTGCTGTATTCTTGAAGAACTACGTGTTTAGGTTAGATTTAAGTTATTTTGGGGAGTAGCTCATCCTCTGTGGTATTCATATGCCTTAGAAGAGATTTCCAACTGGTAAGACTGTGACATCTGTAGCAAGTCATACATCAAAGCAAAGATGTAGAAATCTAGGACAAAAAAGTCTCAAATTGGGCTGACCCAGGAGTACTTTGGACTGTTCTGGTAGCCTATCTGCTTCACGTCTCCCACATGCTGGTGGGAGAGGGGACAGCAAGCAAGGGGGACCCACATTTAGTGTTGGCACACATCACTACCGATAATCCTTAGTTTTTAGTTAAAAATATCATCTTCTAAAGCCATGATGTGGAAACATATGAAGTGCTGGTACCAATGATGTATTCTCATTGGGCAATCTTCCCCGTGGTTTCTCTGCAAAAATCTAAAACCAGGTTGTGGTGCGGCATAAGAGACATTACAGAAGATACCCTCAGTGTTGCTGCAATACAAAGTTGTTGTTGGAGAAGCACAAATTTATTGGGACCCCTGAAAGATATACAGCACCAATGCCTAACCTTTATGTTAAACTATCAAAAAGTAAAACAAACAACAAAAGTCAATGAAAAATTCTACTCAAAACCTCCTGAAGGAAACAGCCACCTGTTTGTCGTGTTTTTTTCCTTTTTTTTTTTTTTTTAATATATGGCCAAACATTTGCTTTGAGGACAAAGCAAAAAAAAAAAAAATTAATAGTACTTTATTCTCCATTCTTTTGTGATCAATACAGCATTTCCTCCCAGATGCCCCCCAGGTGCTGCTCGATGCTGGGGACAGGACACACTCTGGGCTGGGGAGCAGGTCTCAGCTGCTTTCACCTTGTTCAGGCATCAGTGTTGGCCAAAGCTCCCCTGGGCATTTCCACCCACTGGTGCCTGCTGGGGCACAGCAAGGTGTCACGCTCTTGTGTACACTGTCCCCAAAACGCAGCTGGGGCCCCAGACCCCACAGTCAGAACCATCCAGGAGGGAGGCCAAGGCATGGAGCTGCAGGGCAAATCCCAGACATGAGGACTGTAAGCCTGGGGCTCGGATTCACCCATGCTCCATGCTTGCTTATAAATAGCTCTGGTACCTGCTAGTGACACAGCCCTCCCTCTCATCACTTTCTCAAAAATTGTACTGGATTCAGATTGACACTTTATTTCTCTATAACACCTGAAAAACCACAGCAGAGAGGCACCACAGAAATAAGTGTATTATGCAGCAAGTCAGAGGACTTAATGTTTATTATGTAAAGACCTGTCTGTTTAATTGTCCTTCTCATACATCTTTTTTTTTTTTTTTTTAAATTTTAGAAAGAGCAGATGTCGAGTTATTAGAATCACCGCTATCTTAGGTGACATACACAATCAAATCTCATGGCATGTGATCCAGCCATGAACAAGTAAGCCATGCTTTCATTTCAATACTGCCTGTGTACATTTTTTTTTTCACACCAATTCAAAGACACTATTAAAAAATCCTTGCTGTTTTAGCTAGTTAACCAGTACACTTGCAATGCTCACTTAAAGCAGCATGCCATTTCACAGGCAATTCAAAGCTATAACTGATAAATACAATATTATATAAAAATTTAATTTACTTTTCATATCCTTGCTGTTGCCTCTTTTTAATACTCTCTCGTTCCTTTTCTCTTCACCATGTGAAGCATCAGGCACTATTTCTCTGCTGAAATACAGACACCTCTAGTCATAACCGACACTCAGGTAAAAGCACGTTTTGTTCAGAATCTCCTGTTGAGCTACATGGACAAAAATGCTGTGACATCAATACGGTATCATCACATCAGGATCATATTATCTACACTTTGCGGATGACAAGTACAACATTAATGGCACCTTGTTACAACAAAGCTATTGAAACTATCTTTCCACCACTCTGCCTGGCTTTATCTC